ATCTCTCTCTCTCTCTCTATCTCTCTCTCTCTCTATCTCTCTCTCTCTATCTCTATCTCTATCTCTCTCTATCTCTATCTCTCTCTATCTCTCTGTTGCATGCTGGGAGTTGGGTGAGAGTGGTGTTGGGTGAGAATTGAGCTGTGTGATTTCACCTAGTCTTAATTACTTTTTCTTTTTTTTCTTTTTCCTTTTCTTTTTTTTTTCCTTTTTGTTGCATGGTTTAAGGTTGATTTACCTTTGGTTGATTTTGTTGTGGATACTGTGCAGGGAGGGATGGCGTCTCACGAGGAGAATGTGCTCATCTCGGCTGGCGGAGAAGTAGGACATGAGAATATTGTGTCCGCTTCTCGCATGAATAGGGCTGTAGTAGTGTTCTTGAAAGAACAAAATCTTGTTAACCAACTAATCGAGAACGGTCTTGTTATAAATGACAACTTTGTTCAAGTTACCCCGTTACATGCTCCAACAGCGAAAATTACGGTATCGAATGTTCCACCCTTCATTCCTGATGACGCGTTGGAGCGGGAATTAGTTCGGTTTGGCAAATTTGCTAGTGTTTTCAAAACAATTACGCTAGGCTGTAAACATCCATCTTTGAGGCACGTTAAGTCTTTTAGAAGACAGGCGTTTATGTTTTTAGAATCCGCAGAAAATACGCTAGATGTTTCATTTCGAGTGCGACACGAAGGGAGAACATATATGGTGTATGCAACAACTGGTAGTTTAAGGTGCTTCGAATGCGGCGAATTAGGCCATAAGAAGTTCGCATGCCCACATAATCGAGATCTTTTCTCCTTTTTGTTGCATGGTTTAAGGTTGATTTACCTTTGGTTGATTTTGTTGTGGATACTGTGCAGGGAGGGATGGCGTCTCACGAGGAGACGCCGTCCTTGTCCTTGCGCAATGGCTTCAGGTGTGTGCCGGAGGACGGCGTCACAGTGGAGAATGTGCTCATCTCGGCTGGCGGAGAAGTAGGACATGAGAATATTGTGTCCGCTTCTCGCATGAATAGAGCTGTAGTAGTGTTCTTGAAAGAACAAAATCTTGTTAACCAACTAATCGAGAACGGTCTTGTTATAAATGACAACTTTGTTCAAGTTACCCCGTTACATGCTCCAACAGCGAAAATTACGGTATCGAATGTTCCACCCTTCATTCCTTCATTCCTGAATTAGTTCGGTTTGGCAAATTTGCTAGTGTTTTCAAAACAATTACGCTAGGCTGTAAACATCCATCTTTGAGGCACGTTAAGTCTTTTAGAAGACAGGCGTTTATGTTTCTAGAATCCGCAGAAAATACGCTAGATGTTTCATTTCGAGTGCGACACGAAGGGAGAACATATATGGTGTATGCAACAACTGGTAGTTTAAGGTGCTTCGAATGCGGCGATTTAGGCCATAAAAAGTTTGCATGCCCACATAATCGAGAGCGTGAACCAGGGAACAGGCCTACTGTCTCAGGAGAAGTGGTGGTGGAGCACATTACTCAAGAGGAGCAAGCAGGTTCTTCAGAGGTAAGCGAATCTGTTGCGGTGCCGCCCGCTATGGAAGCAAACGAGCATGTTGTCAATGATATTGAAACTAATGTAAATGAACGTCAGCTAAATGAAAATACTGTAACTGTACAAAATATAAACGCAGATGAGCAGCAAGATAATGTTTTGGTAGTTGCAGGGCCCAGTTCAAGATGTGAGGAGCCTGTTTGTTTGGGTTCAAGAAAGAGAGAGCTGTGTCTAAGCAATGATGGTAGTGCAATGGATGATGTTGTATCAGACGAAAATGGTTCTATATTTGATTATGAATGTGATTCACAAGGAGGTTCTTCTGTTTGTGGACCTGAAGGTGATTCTCAGGATATAACCATTAAAGATTCCTCTATGTATACATTAGAGGAAATTAATGGGTTTCTTGATGAGACGTTTGGGAAACAAGTCAATATTAAGGATTTTTTCCCTGATGTTGATAAATTTGAGAGGTCAGTGGCATCTCTGCAAAAAAATGTGAATCTTGATCAGTTAAGTGAAAAGAAACGTTTTCGTTTAAAAAAAGCATGTTACAGTCATTAGAAAATGTAGAAGAGTGGATAAGAAGAAGAGGCTAAAAGCTTTTTTGTAAGTTGTTAACCATGCATCACGTGGTGATCTTGTCTTTCTTTCTGCTGTTTTCTTTTGCTGGTGTTTTTATTCTATCCTTCCTAAACACATATATGGATCTTTTGAGGGTGGGTTCATTAAATATTAATGGAGGGAGGGATAGACATAAAAGAGCCTTAGTGTCTGAAGTAATGCAGAATAAAAAGTTAAATGTCATTTTATTGCAGGAAACCCATAGTGATGTTGAGAATGAAATAGAGTGGGGGATGTGGTGGAAAGGTCAGCATATACTTAGTCACGGTACAAATCTGAGTGCGGGAATTGCTCTCCTTTTCTCTCCAGAAAAAAAAGTTAGTATTGAAAAAACAGAAGAATTTGTAAAAGGTCGTCGTTTTTTGTCCTTTAATTATTGAATTATAAAATTTTGGACAATAGAGTAAGTGCTGCTCGATTAGATAGAATCTATGTTTCAAAAAATTGTAATAACAGGGTTGTGGCTTGTTGTATTTCTCCTATAGGTTTTTCTGATCACCATCTGGTTTTTATTTCAGTAAACATGGTACAGTTGCCAAGAAAATCATTGTATTGGCATTTTAATGCTAAATTGTTGCAGGATGCTTCATTTTCTGAACATTTTGTGGCATTCTGGAACTATTGGAAAGAAAAAAAATTATTTTGAAAATTTAAAACAATGGTGCGAGGTTGGAAAAACTCAAATAAAACTTTGCTGTCAACAGTACACTGCATATTGCACTACCACTCAAAGAGAAACTATTAAAGCCCTGGAAAGAGGTATTGAGTCTATAGAGACAGAAATACTAAGAAGAAATTATCCAGTTTTTGTAAATGACTTACAACAGAAAAAAAACAGCTAAGTTTTCATCTGAATGAGAGGGTTAAGGCAGCATTGGTGAGGTCACGTTTGACATCAGTCACTGATATGGATGCACCAAGTGCTTATTTTTTTAATTTAGAACGTTCAGTGGCACAATATAAGCAGATGACATGTTTACGTCTTCCAGATGGGAAGATTACAAATGATATTACAGAAATGCGTCGTCATGCTGTTGACTTAATCTTCTCTCTATAAAGCTGATCATTGCAATTCTAGTTGTGAAGCACAACTTTTCCATGAGCTTTCTCAAATAGACTCTACATCTAGGACTGCTTTGGATATGCAAATTACCTTTCAAGAACTTACTGTTGCTGTTGGACAATTAAAGCCTGGTCGCTCTCCTGGTATTGATGGGTTGACTTCTGAATTTTATAAACATTTTTGGAAATCTATTGGAATGGACTTGTATGAAGTTTTCTGTGAAAGTTATAAAGATGGCATTCTACCTGTTACATGTCAACGTGCTGTATTGTCTCTACTACCTAAAAAGGGAGATTTGACTTTGTTAAAGAACTGGAGACCTGTTGCTCTATTAACAACAGATTATAAAATGTTATCCAAATGTCTCTCTAATAGACTTAAGAAGTTCTTACATTTGATAATCCATCAAGACCAAACCTATTGCATTCCAAAGAGATCCATAATGGATAACCTTTTTTTGGTGAGAGATACTTTGGATATCTGCAAATTGTTTGATGCAGAGGTCGGATTGATTGCTTTAGACCAAGAAAAGGCATTTGATCGTGTTGATCATAATTATCTTTTTAATCTGCTTGCTGCTTTTGGGTTTGGTCAAGGTTTTATCAAATGGATACAATTGCTATATACTGGAGCTTCTTGTATGGTTAAGGTGGGGGGTGGCCTAAGTCGGCCCATTGTGGTTTCAAGGGGCATTAGACAAGGATGTCCTTTATCAGGTCAGTTGTACGGTATTGCCATTGAACCATTACTTTTTAATATAAGGAAAACTCTAATTGGTTTATCAATACCCACAATGCCTCAATGTTTAAGAACTAAAATTACTGCTTATGCCGACGATGTTACAGTTTTTGTTAATGATAATACTGATATAAAAGCTTTGTCTAGAGTCATTAATATGTATGAAAGGGCATCGTCAGCAAAAGTAAATTGGGATAAGACTGAGGCTTCAGGGAACGAGGGTTACATACGTAACCGAGACATTCTATACCAACACAGAGTAAAATGTGGACATGTGAGAACGAGGAAGAAAAAATATAAAGGGCTTTTGTTCAGGGTAATATACAAATGAAGTGACGTGCTGGATGACGGATGAGAGCACATAATAATCATATAGATTGAAGCTGCAGACAGAAACATCAGACTCAGGACCGAAACACACAACCTCTAAAGTAAGAACAACTCACATCTTCATTCTTTAACTATAATTAGACTTTTGAGATGTTAATAATGTCTAAATGATTGTGAGTTGTGTTCTGCTGCTAAAATGTTTTTTTTTTACTTATTACAATGTGTTTTACTCTCTTATTCTTCCTCAGAAATGGAGCAAACTCTATATTTCATTCTTCTTCTCATTGGTGAGTGTTTGTGGTTTTATTTATGGTTTCTGGTTTCATTAGGTTTGATCCTGTTATGAAAAGCATTAAAGCAAAGTTTCTCTTTCACAGCTCTCTGCTCCGTATCTGAATGTGTTCAGCGTCAGTATCACTTTATAAATGAGGAGAAGACCTGGCCTGAAGCTCAGAGATACTGCAGAGAGAATTACACAGATCTGGCCACTGTTGAAAACATGAACGACATGAACGAGCTGAAGAAGTGTGTCAATGGTGGAGGTTTTCAGTATATCTGGATTGGGCTGCAGAAGACGGGTCGTGATGAATGGCAGTGGTCTTCAGGTGAACCTGCGCTCTATCTGAACTGGGGAGATAAACAACCTGAAAACAGAGATTATTGTGCTATGATGAGAAATGGACAATGGCATGATTTTCCATGTAGTGTTGCCCAGCATTTTATCTGCAACAAGAGTGAGTACAAACACCTAATATATGTAGCCCAGGAGTTTTCAACCAAGAGGTGAGAGAAACTTTTAAATTCAGAGGCAAACACTCGAGACATTATGAATACGAGCTAGCAAATCTTTAGCCATCACTAAGTCTGCTTAGTTCCACTGCTGATCAGTCGACAGAGAAGAGTTGTGGCGTGTATCTAGTACTAGTAATAATTCTAGTACTAGTAATAATACTAGTACTAATAATAATAGTACTAGTTATTTGTTGTAGCAGCTATATCTGACGAACCTATTGTTAACTAAAAATAAACAGAAAGAGAGAGATCTAATTATAATCTACCAGCTCTAGACTTAAGATCTCATAGTAATAATCATAATCATAACAATGTAGCAGCACAATGAAAACAAAGTAAAACCGCTAAGGAGCTGAGTGAGGAAATACCTTCTGTGACGCGTTTAATCATACTTGATATATTGAATTGAAGTAATATTGTTATTATTGTTGACATAATTATGGAAATACTATACCTGTATAGTTTACATGTTATGCGGTCACTATTATTTTACTACCATTAATGTAAATATTATTTATTTTACTCTCTCTCTCTCTCTCTCTCACTCACTCACTCACTCACACACACACACACACACACACACATTTTTCGTATCTCTCTTCTTGTTCAAACACTCTGCTTTAGATATGTAAATTCATGCAAGAGGTATACACATACACAACCTCACACCCACACTCTTGTTTGTTTTTCTATCTTTTTGTGTGTTATGTTGGTTTGTATTTATGGTGTTGTCTTGTTTTATTATGACATACCGAAGAAACAAATTTAAGAAGAAAATGAAAAAAAAAGGCATGTGGTCATTTAGGGTAAAGTTAGAAAATACACAAAAGGACCAAAAATCCTATAATAGTACTGGACTGCGCCACCTGGAGTACACCAGGAAATACAGCCCTACACAATGGCACACAGGTCCATTGCCACTGGCAGGGTGAAGGAAGAAAAAAAACAAGTCACTTTACATACAAAATGAATATAAAACATTCAACCAATACACTAATGCCACAAAGCCTTAGTGGATGATCACTTAACAATATCAAACACACATTCACTGGAAATACAAAAAGAGGGAGATGGCCAGCAGAGGCGATCACACAACTTGTATTGTGTCTGGTCGGTATTGAAACGTCCATTTTAAATTTTACGCAAAATGCGATATCCGCCGAATTATTCTGTCATGTTTTCTCCCTTTCTTTCCAAACCGCGACAAACGCCAGTTTCCCTTTTCTGCAGAATGCAATATATCCGCTCAACCAATCACAGCGCACCATTCTATTGGCGGCGCTTTGAATACACCCGGCTTCCTAGTTTTCCTAATATATTTTGTATTTTGTGATCAACAAACAAACTTAGGGCTGCATGATAAATCGCATGTGATTGTCATGCGCATCTCGTCAGTAAAGCCGGTTCTGTGATTAATAGTAAATCTCCATCACGTGCTAGATGGAGCTGCATTTAATACACAGACCCATAGATCACTGCTATATCGCGTTCATAATCGCAGATGAGTCGCATTTGATTATGAACGCGATATTGCGTAGCTTGTCAGTGTAAGTGTTTTTATTTATGCCATTAATGTTTTTGTTAATACAGC